AATATAATAAATATGTTTACCGCGAACGGGGCGAAGGGGAGTGATAATATCCCTGAACAACCCCCAGTTGAGAAAAGTCAACTTTCCTTTAACAACTAAATTCCTGTCACGAAAAAAGAACAAAAAAAAAACGTCGTCATCAACAAATTAAAACTCTTGGTTAAAAAAATTTAATTTAATAACATACTCATTATACAAGCGATAATCTTTAAACGCAGAATGTTTAATCCAGGAAATCGCTACTTATGTACCAACCTGGTCATACCATCGAGACTAAGACCATCTCTCCTCGACTTTCCAAAGGCCGTTGGACAGAAAGACACTTCGCCTGCCTCCTCTGACTTTCTTCACGGCTTTCCGGCGGCTCTGTAGCCTCTACCTTATTTCTTTCCACTGGCTAATTCCTGCAAGCACAACTTAAAACTGAATCCACTGAAACAATAAAACCTCACTTGCGGGCCTGAAGGGGAACAGAAGTTCCCGAATACCCCAGTTGGGAAGGGCAGACAAGCATAAAATTTGTTTTCTCTTCCTTCAAACTAAATTACTGCCATGTCTAGTTTTTTAGTTATTTTTTCTCACGGTGTCATAATCTTCTGAAGAAGACTTAAAGTCGAAACGTTGAGAATAAAAAGATCCTGACTAGCAGTCATAGTCTCATTGCTATCTTGGTATCCATACAATAGGTTTTCTTTATTTTTCACGATCAAAAGGTCTTCTCAATTGGCAATAGTGAGTTATCTCATTTAACAACACCTTAGATTGCTAAAATCCTTACGCGCCAAAACATAAAAGGGATTAAAATTAGCACTATCAGCTCAGTCCTGCTCATTTTATAATGTGATATTTTGATATATGTCAATTTCAAACGGATCTTATACCAAAGCTTTATATGGATGCCCTTATCAGCGTGAGATTCATACACTTATTATGTTTTGCACCTGGGTTTCACCAGCTGCATCTGCCTGAAAGCTAGAGACTGTACAATATTTCTTTACTTTTGATCGAAAACCGGAACGGTAAAATATCTCCAGACCCCCAGTATTTGAAGCCTGTAAAATTTTAATAGTGGGAAATTATTAATTTTCGTCGAAATGGATTTAAATGTTCTTACATTGTAATATTATCCATGAAAATGTTGGAATCTCTTTCCGTGTTTGTTAAAAAACGTAAAAGTTAAAACATTTCGTTAGGTTATTACACAGTTAACTCTTTGGATTTTCAAAAACAAAAGAAAATAGAAATGCAGCCCTAGCCAGCGAAAATTTATTTACTTGTATATTTGCTACCCATCATTTCTACACGCTACTGTCGTTCACACATTAAGCAATAAGAACATCAAGAGAAGTACAGTGTGAGAAAATTTATTTACTTGTATATTTGCTACCCATCATTTCTACACGCTACTGTCGTTCACACATTAAGCAATAAGAACATCAAGAGAGGTACTGTGTGAGAAAATTTATTTACTTGTATATTCGCTACCCATCATTTCTACACGCTACTGTCGTTCACACATTAAGCAATAAGAACATCAAGAGAAGTACAGTGTGAGAAAATTTATTTACTTGTATATTCGCTACCCTTCATTCCTACACGCTAATGTCGTTCACACATTAAGCAATAAGAACGTCAAGAGAAGTACAGTGTGAGAAAATTTATTTACTTGTATATTCGCTACCCTTCATTTCTACACGCTACTGTCGTTCACACATTAAGCAATAAGAACGTTAAGAGAGATACAATGTGAGTCTGGTATCGCTAGATGGTTATCTATACAAATGTGGAAAAACCAGCGAATTTGGGAGAAGCGTGAAACCTATGAAATATACATAAAATATCATGACTGGTGGTTAGAATGTTATGAAAAAGCTAAGAAAAAAATGTTTTAAGTGATTTTATTAGCTGAAGACACGAAGGGTTTGACGAGACGTGTTTAAATATCTTAAGTCATATTTATTTGTTCTTTATTGTTGTTACCACATGAATTTGTAGCAACAATACTCAAATAGTAAATATCATATAATTCAAATTAATTTACATTTGATTCCAAAGTAAAAAAACATCTGTGTTCTATGTTCTATCATTTTGGTTTAAAAAATGAAACTTCTCGCTGAGAAAATACAATTTAACAAAAATGCGTTACCATGACGTAAGCGTTAAAGTTAGTAACATCAGAGAAGTTGCCTCATGATACGAGCAAGAACGTTATCTTTGCAAACATATACTAACATGTTCTACCAACTTTAGCTAGAAACACTATGGAAACAGTAGCCTAGCAACAACGACTGAATGATTTCCATCAATTAGCAAAACTATAATTTGATTCTTAATCTAATAACTCAAAAAGAAGTTTATAAGCATCATTAGTACTGAATGAACCTCTCCGAAGACAAGTCTGTATGGTCATTTATAATAACAAAAAACAACTCATATGAAACACAGCAATCTAGGAACAACCAACGACCTACAAAACCTTGTTCAAATATACAGCTACAGGAGTGATAGTTTAGCAATTTTCCACCTTCTGTAACTCTGACTGCAGTAATCCAAGTTAACATATTTTCAATGGATGTGCACTACTGGACCCTTACTTCACCAAATTTCAATGTAGTCCATTAAGAAATACTCGAGATATAAAATCTAGGATTTTGATTAAATTCCTTCCTTTTTTATTTCTTCGCACCGAAAGTACGAAAATTTTATTTCATAAAAAAATTTGGTACACTGATAGATCTTTACAACCTACAATTAGTTATCAAATGTGGGCTAATTATAAGTTTCATATGCAAAGTTTTTCAACAAAAACCGCTCAAATTTGACCAAAATTTTTGCCTGCGTGCTCAAAACGTCACGTGAGCTATCGGTTTGAAATCTTTACTACAGGTTTATCCGTAGGTGGATCTTTTTCAATTTCTTATCATTCGGATTAAAAACGATTGATTTAGAGCAGCCAAACTATAGGGTGAAAGGACATAAGTATTGGTTAGGCCAAGCAAAATAAATTAGCAGTTTCTAGCTTAAGTATTGAAGAGAATCGTACGGGTGTTCGGTTACTATTCATTGTCAAAGTTTAAGAACTAATTTGCTAAGTTTTATAAAATTCTTTTGACTAAAGAGCTTTTAGAATCACGTAATATTAGCTTAAGCAATTTGCATAAATAATTATGCTTGATACGGCTGTACTTAGTGTATGCGTGTGATGACAAGAAACTGTTAATCTAGTTTCCATGGCGTTACTGTAAAGGAAGTTATTAACACTGTTTCAGAGAGGAAAAACTACCACCATATATTGTAAAGAATCTGGTTGGTTCTGTAAACTATAGGTCTATTTTTTTCACACTTAAGGTGTTTCTGATTAGCTCTTTTATATAAGTGCAACGTTTCGACCACTAACTCAAGTACAAACACACAATCAACTACCCAATATAAGTGGTAAACTAATTCTAATATTACTATTCGGTGGGGAAAACTGATCCTTGTAATAAATAAGACGCTGTTAAAGAACTTTCAATAAAGCATTTTATGAATTAACAAAGCTTCCTTTATATATATATATATATATATTTAACGTTTAAAAATAAAGTTTGATAACAGTCACAGAAACAAAACAATTTAGCAAGCCATAAATATATTCTGAGGAAGAATTATTAAATAACATATGTAAACATCGAACAGTTCGTTTTAACTTTTTGAGAATAGTACATTCCTGCATTCAGTGCTAACGTAGAGTCTTCTACTATTTATAGACGTGTCTGTAACCGGTGCTGAAAATCACCAATGTTATACATATTTGATTTCTAGTTCGCTTACAAACAATAGTTTTTCCTCTTCTTCTCAAACTTCATTTGGAGCAAAAGTTTTATGGGGAAACTTATAATACAGAGCTAATAATTACAATTTGGAGATTTGAAATGTTCTGTTTCAAACCTACACTTTTAAGTGTTCAAGTTAAAATATTATATCATTCGTCTAAGCTAATTCACACTACAAAAGGTGCTCTTCATGATAACTGATGACATATATAGCCCCCTAGACTATATCAATATAGTAGAAACGGCTGATATGGGTATTTGAAACTTTTATTTAAAATACAAAACTAATAACATTGTTTCGAAACGTTGTATGTTTTGTGTTTTAAATAAAAGTTTTTAATATTGATATCAGCCGTCTCTACTATACTTCAAGTGGGTTCATAGCCATCGTGAATTATTTCATTACCATATCTGTTATATCTCAGCCGGCCTGGTGAGCCCTGGTATTGAACGACAGGCCTCGTCGACACAGTTTATGGCAAATGGTTGTGTGGTTAACATATTATAACATATTTTCTTTTGATTTTACTCATGGGTTCTTAGAACTAAGGTACCTAACACCTTCAGTATCAGGTGATCTATACTGCAAGTTAACTCTACCAGAGGAAAACCCTGGTATTGAAGATGTTAATCAAACTATATATAATACCTTAGTAAAAATGGCATCAATGCAGTAAGCAGAATCTGCAAGAGTTCATCCCTGGCACTGAAGACGTTAAACTGTCTATATCTAAATGTTGTGCAAAATATCAGAGTCAAAATAATATATTTAGAATTTTTTACTTCAAGGTATTCTTGGTGTGAAATTGAATGTGATGTTCTTAAAGGTTTTTGATATTTTTTATATGTCGCTTCTGTTGTAAATAAATGAACCTTAGAATATAATAAGCCTAAATTTTACAGATTGGTACTGCGCATTCTGAAAAGTACTTTATTTAAATTGAATACTAATGAAAACCTTGATAAGAACACGTTCTATTAAATATGTTTGCCAAGGAAACTTCTACATTCACACTATCCTTCCACAACCATATTCTTCTTTTACTCAGTAATAGAAGACAATAAAAACAGATCTGACTTGAATTACAGTTAAGGGTTGAAACACACTTACTTGTGAAATTACTTCCTCTATCACTTTCTAACAGGTTGAAACATTTGTTAACGATTCAAGCTAGAAAAACTCACCTGGCCTTGTAGATTAGGTGACGGTAAATTCAGATAACCAGCATCTTTGCCGCCAGGTCCTGCAAAAACGGAAAAATTAATAGATAAGCTAAGGATGGTACGAACCAAAAAACTTTTACACACTATCAGAGGCGTCTCTGGGTACTTAAAGGATACAGAGCTCGGGCTCATAGGCGCGGAGATTTTCGGTATTTCAGTATGATATTGATCATGCTTTTCTATTCTGATTTTTCAAGACACCAACTGGGGATTTGAGGCACTGTCAAATAGAATCTGGTCACGGACCTCGTTTCCCACTACCTAGTGACGCCTCTTCATGCCACGTTTTTATTCATTGCATTTTTGATTTATTGTATACAAATATTATTATTGTTGTCCTTGTCACCATTAAACTGCGTAGCAAACTGTGAATATAATCTCCAAAAAGATCTTTGATCCGTTTTAGTCTAGGATTTCTACTGTACGATGGAAACAAGAAAAGTCGACTGAAGCTAAATAAACGTCATATATTTTAACATATCCTCCTCCCTCACCTCCGCATGAGTTATTAGCGTATAAAAAACAATAAAAGATAAACAGGGAATGAAAAATATTATAATCATAAATAGTGTGTTTCTGTGTATTTTCTTATAGCAAACCCACATGGGGCTGTCTGCTGTGTCCACCGAGAGGAATAGAATCCCTGACTCTAGCGTTGTAAATCCGAAGACTTACCGTTGTCCCACCGGGGTACATAATCACAAATAACGATTGTTATTATTATTCTATAATTACAAAACAAGATTGTTATCAAAGTCAGGATGATTCAGTTTCTTTGTAGGTAACCGCAAAGCTACACAATGGGCTATCTGTGCTCTGCCCACCACGAGTATCGAAACTCGGTTTCTAGCGTTGTAATTCCGCAGACATGTGCCAGTAGTGGGTGTCAGGATGATGTGTCCTATATCAATAACATGGGATATATAAAAGTTTGAAACTGTGATGAGAGAGTTTTGTGTGTATGAGGGCAAAATCACAGTGGTCTATCTCCTGTGTCCACCGCGTGGAAACGAACCTCGGATTTTAACGTTGTATATCCATAGACTGTCCCACCGGGAGACGTGGTGAAAAGGAATTCATAAATTTAAATTGTACTGTTATTTCTTTATAACATTAAAAAAGAACATGCTTTTGTACTGGAAAAACATCATGAAAAATCAAGACACTGTATATTTTATTCTTAACTCACTTTGTGAGAAGAAAACTAGTTCATAATAAAAGGCTTAGGTTTGTAAAATGTAATTCTACACTTAAATTGTATTTATTTTCAGATACTCAGCTGAATGTCTAAAACTATTTCAACTAAAATCAATTTACACTGCTAAATCCCAGATAATCAATGCGTGTTAATTATATTTACATATATAGTTTCCAAAGGGCATTTTGCATTTCAAACAACATGCTTCAAACATATATTTTTCATAACCAATTGCCTGTCTCTTGGGGTTGAAGAAATTAATATGGCTTCTATTTGCATACACACACACACACATATATATATACGTGCTAGAGAGTATACGTGGTCATGGTGGATTTTTGTTAATTATCACCTATTTTCTCGTTAACAAGTGAGGAATTCACTTGCTAATTAGGGACCGTACATGTATAGATGTAATATTAATGGTAATTTCGAAAACCTTAAGCTATATATATATATTAAGATTTTGAAGAAGACCCTGAATATCAGTTCCATATAATATTTGATAAATCTTTTACCAAACATCTTACGAAATTGGCAGGTTGGAGAATTAATTATATAATGATATGATATGAGAAACGAAAGAATCCCGAAAACAGTTAAGTGAGAACTGTTGTTTCGTCCTACTTTACATAATAAATCATTGTGGCACCGATAACCAGACGACAGAACGCTAACGCTTTAGTCATTCTTCGTATATGGTTTCCTAGACAAAACTTGGCAGATATTGAGAATTAACTCTTGTGAAATTAAATAAATCCACTTGTGACCATTGAAAAATGTGCAAGTAAATAAATCCACTTGTGACCATTGAAAAATGTGAAAGTAAATATATCCACTTGTGGCCAGTTAAAAGTGTGAAAGTAAATAAATCCACTTGTGGTCAGTTAAAAATGTGAAAGTAAATATATCTACCTGTGACCATTGAAAAATGTGAAAGTAAATATATCCACTTGTGGTCATTGAAATATGTGAAAGTAAATATATTTACATGTGACCATTGAAAAATGTGAAAGTAAATATATCCACTTGTGACCATTGAAAAATGTGAAAGTAAATATATCCACTTGTGGCCATTGAAATATGTGAAAGTAAATATATCCACTTGTGGCGATTGAAATATGTGAAAGTAAATATGTCCACTTGTGACCATTGAAATATGTGAAAGTAAATATATCCACTTTTAATGCTAATTATTATTTCATAACAAACATTTAATGAACTGATGCTATTCAGATTTAAAACTATGTGTCCTGTCTTGACAGTTGTTTTAAAAACTGAATTTACCAAGTAAAATTTAATCCCATGGTCACCATCCTAGCAGGTTGTTTTTGTAAGCTGATCTAACAAAACGATATTCAAACATATATTCAGAAGTATTTTAATAAACTGATCTAACTTAGATTTAAAGCTATATTAACAGATGTGTTAATGAAGCTATCCAATTCAGATTTAAAACCAGGTGTTCTGTCTTAACAGGTGCTTTAATAAACTAAACCATTCTATTTAGGTTTAAACTTGCGTGTATTATTTTGAAAAGTGTTTGGATAAACTGAAATAGTCAAACATATTCAAAAATACTTGTACCATATTGAAACGTGCTTTAATAAATTTAGCTTACCGAACCAGATTCGAACCCATTCATGCGATACTACAAAATAACAAAGCATTTTAAGCTGTGAGTGCGTTGTAAGAGTAACAGTCTATACCCTAGCCTGGATGGTAGGTGGTAGGTGCTGCTTACTTAAAACCTTCTCTCTGGGTAGTAATTCAAAAATATGAAGTATGGTAGAGAGCCTTACTAGTTGTGCCATAAATACAACTACTAACTAATTTAGATTCCAGCCCAAATATTGTCTTGACAGTTGTGTTTTAATAAACTGAGCAACCAAACAAGACTAAAGCCAAGAGAGTTTAATACAAAATTTTATATACTGAGATAAAACTCACAAATGTGCTGTAATAAACTGAAATAATTAAATCAATTCGAATTCTCGTGTGCTATCTTAAAAGTATTTTATTAGTAAGATTAGAAGCCACTTGCACTATCTGTACAGATGCTTTAATATGCTAAAAAAAAATCAAGAAGCTAGAGAATGAAATAAGTTTGGTTTGAATTTCGCGCAAAGCTACACGAGGGCTATCTGCGCTAGCCGTCCATAATTTAGCAGTGAAAGACTAGAGGGAAGGCAACTAGTCATCACCACCCACCGCCAACTCTTTTGTTACTCTTTTTACCAACGAATAGTGGGATTGACCGTCACATTATAACGTCCTCGCGGCTGAAAGGGCGAGCATGTTTCGTAATACGGGAATTCGAACCTGCGACCTCAGATTGCGAGTCGAAAGCCTAAACCACTAGGCCATGCTTAACACATCTTTAATAAGCAAGACATAGCTAGTCAGATTCAAACCCTCGTGTACGGTATTAATAAGTGTTTGGTCAAGTCACCTGATGCAGCGTCTATGGATTTCAGTACGATCAAACTGTTAAAACGACTAGGCGCTGTGAAACGGTTGCCCTATACACTGGTGGTATTATGAAAAGTATGTAGTGATGAGTGATGTGCTTAAGATACGACAGCCTTACGACAAAGAATTTTCCAATGAAAACTACGCTGCAGATTTATTTTCAAGCTACACGGTTGTAAGTTAGAGCATGACTGGACGAGGAGACATGGACTGTAACGACGTGGTGACGCGCCAAATGCAACTTCCTCAATCTCTATACTATTTTCACTGGCACTTCATTTTAACGAACGATACAAGTAAGATCAAACCAGCACGTAATATTTTGATACGTTATTTAATAAACTAGGCGAGCTAAGTCACATTCGAACCCACGCAAGCACTTTCTTTAACAGATGCTTTAACAATCTTAGCCAATAAAGACTTCAGCTTGCATATACTATCTTAAGAGTTGTTTTAGTAAACAGAATTGAATTTTCGTTACTGTCTTAACACATGATTAAATAAGCTCAGCTAACAAAGTAAAATTCACAAACACGAATACTAGTTAAGCAGCTGCTTTGATGAACTGAAACTTGTCAAACCTAAACATAAAATCAGTAGCTTAACACATCTTTAATAAGCAAGACATAGCTAGTCAGATTCAAACCCTCGTGTACGGTATTAATAAGTGTTTGAATAAAGTGGGTTAAGCAAGTGAAACTCAAACCCTCGTATACTGTTTCAACAAGCATTTGAATATAATGTGCTAACCAAATCAGACTCAAATTCTCGTGTAGGTCTTAATAAGTGTTTGAATAAAGTGAACTGACCAAGTGAGACTAAACTCCTCATTTACTGATTTAACAAATCAGGCTAACCAAGTCGGATTCAAACCCTCGTGTACTTTCTCAACACGTGTTTGAATAAAGCGTGATAACTAAGTGAAATTCAAATCCACATGTACTGTCTTGATGCGTGATTGAATAAACCAAACGAGACTCAAAATAAGTGTGCTGTTTGAATAGGTTCATTAATAAGTCAGGCTAACCAAATCAGATTCGAATCTTCGTGGGCTTTACAATCGTTGAAATCTGCATGTTTCCGTCATTTTTCTTCAAACTACTACTCACTTCCACTTCCAAATATCACTAGAGAAGTGCATCACAAATATAAACACCATACTTAATAGCCAGTTAGTTTACTGTTATTATCCATCAAATTGACTCGGTGGCTGTGGGTAGGCTGAAGAGATTACGACTCGTGATCTCGGCGACGGAGGTAGCCAATTGTACAGATTTAAACTACACACTTTCAATATCAGAATCATAAAGAAAAGTTCCAGAAGTTCCATCATTAGAATCCGAAATAATT